ATGCAGGCGGCGTGAGCGTTTCAGGAGCTGCCGGCCCCACATCTCCACCAAACACATCGCAAACGGCTCGGGGCACTGACACTGTTCACAACTCAATTAACACTCTTGTTCCCCCAGATATATTTTCACTCTTCCTGCTCCTCCAGCTTGGAATCTGCATTTTCATCCTCTTTGCTGACATCGATGCTGTGTACCGTGGGATGGAGGTAAGGAGGAAGGACAGCTCATGCTTTTCCACGTCCCCCACCCTGGCCAGATGCCTTTTGCACAAGTGGAAGGAGAAAGATCTTGAGGCACAAAGTGGGGACTTCATGGCTATGCTGCCGTCTCACTTCCACCCACCGCAGCCTTAAATGAGGCTTCCTTAATGTGGCCTTCGGATGCAAGGGTAGTGCTGCCTACCAGTTATGTCCGGCCAAGTGGGAGCTTCGGGTCAGTGTCTTTTGTGTGACCCTTGGAAAGCCGAGGAGCAGGGCCCACCATTGAAGTGGCTCAATCCTCTCGGCCGTCTGAGGAGACAACGCGATGCTGCTGTCATGTTAACCTTAGCGCTAAGCCGTGAGAAAAGACATCGCCCCAGCCTTGGGGGCGGTGAGGGATCGGCAGAAATTGGACAGAGACATGCGAACCCCAGTGACTTGTGTTCTGCTGTTTCTTTTCCAACAGCTCCTCTGCACTCCCACGATGTGGAGGGTTTATATCTTAATCACCGCGTTGGTCACCTTCTGCGTATCATTCGTGGTGGAGGTGAGTGTGCCTCTTTATCCCCTGAAAGCCAGCAGAAGCAATACGTGCTTCCCGTGCATTTCTTTCCTCCCTCCACAAAGAGACTGAGACTCCTGGTCAAGTGTAAACCCCAAGAGTTTCTCATGCAAACAACTCTGAAAACATTCATCCGAATCTCATTGTGGTAATGCCATGTGGCGTGCTATCCCGTCTTTCACATACGCCTTGTGCGAGGAGTGAGCCTGAATGTTTTCAGGGAGGAAAAGTAGGTTTCGTTCACTGGTTACAGAACAAGGTTAGATTTGCAGACCGGGGACCGGACTAGCGCAGCTTCCCAGGGCAGAAGCAGGCGCTCAGAACCAGCGCGACACGCTCCCAGTACGGCGCGCTATTTCAGTAGTGACCAACCCGAATGCAATGCATTGCACGGATGGAAAGGAGGAGAATCCGCTTGTGAGCTAAAAGGCAGGAATAAAGATAACCCTGGAAAAAGGGAGGAATAGCGATAACGCTGCAAAGCAGCGTAGACCGCGGGGCCTGCACTGGAAGGGCCCGGTGCTCTAGTCTTTGACGCTTGCAGGAGGTTGGGGTGAAAGTCTGCGTAGAGGCAGGATCAGGCTGTTCCTAGGCAAGGTCCACATGTGTTGGTGAGGACAAGATCTTACCCACTCTCCCTAGCAGCTGGTTTAACTCTGCTCGCCAGCGCGGGAAGCAGCATTAACTCTGCGCCGTCATTTCCCAGGACCTCGTCCTGCAAAACAGACGTCTCTGGCTGCTGATTAAGAAATGCTTTGGCTTCCGCTCCAAGAGCCAGTACCGGAAGTGGCAGAGGAAGCTGGCGACGGATCCAACGTGGCCTCCTTTGCAGCGAACTGATTTTGCAGAAAACGGCAAGAACGAGATCTACACAAACCCAGCCTATGAGCACAGCGAGGAGAAGTAAGCCTTCCCGCAGGAGCCCAGCCACAGCCTTCGGGCAACCTCCCTAATTTATAAGGAACCTGGACTAGCTTCACTGTTTTTATATGTACAAACACCACTTCCTTTTTGCTTTATTATTCTTTTTTAAATATAAGCATGCCAATACCAGCCACGTCACATCATTTGAGAGGTGCAGGTGGGGTCTGTTACAGTTTTGCCTTCAGACACTGACAAGCACTTTCTTTTTGTAGAATAACCATATTCAAGGTAGTTTTATTCACTCAATTGCTTTTTATGCTAAATACAGGTATCTGTTCAATAAAATTGGTATTGCAGAAAACTGGTAAAACACGGAGTCTGATTCCACTCGGTCACCGCAGACCTGCCCGAGTTTCCAACGTGCGGCGCTCAGACAAGTCCACTGTCCGGCACATCTTTACACAAAGAAACTTGCTGTGTGGGTTCCCCCGGGCAAGTCAAGGGATTTGACTTTTGCTTTGCTTTGCGAGAATCCCAGTCCGCAGGTGTGGTGTTAAGGCACGTCCCTTTTGCCCCCTGCACAACCCATGCACGGACCTCATCATGCGTACCGGGAAGGTGAGGTGTCGCTGGAGGAGCACACATGAGGGGATTTGCAGTGGAGCATGGACACTTCAAGTCCAAGCTGCACAGAAAGACGAACTCATGGAGAGTTTGTTATATTATATATACTTATATATTGTTATATATAATATAATTTGTTCCAAATGAACCGAGTACGTTGTACGCCTCTTGCTGTTGAGGTCTCGGGCTCTGCAGGCTCAGACTCGCACACCTGAGCGTGCGCTCTCACACGCTACGTGGGCTCAGCACTGCCGTCGTGGGACCCCACATGGGAAATGAGGGAGAGCCTGCTCCTCTTTGATCTCACACACGACTCAGTCAACACATGGACCAGATCACACGGGTGCCAGCACGGGGCAAGAGGGTGGCCCTGCCAGGCCACGCTGGTGTGCATCTCTCTCCATGGCTGGGAAGCAGCCCAGTAGCATCAGCCCTGCATTAGAGCTGGAGGCACACGCTGCTCTGCCCACAATTTCACCCCCTCCCGCCACCGCACTTTACTTGGCTGTTTTTGGCTTGTTCTGGGCAGACCTGAGAAGAGCCTCGCAGTCAGAAACCCACCTAGCTCTATGCCAGTGACACAGATCAATACAAGATTTCACCCTAAGAAATCCTTGCCTTTCACATCATTGGTGCCAGGAAGGCGACCGGCATCCTGGGCTGCATTGGCAGGAGCGCTGCCAGCAGATGGAGGGCAGTGATTCTCCCCTCTATTCAGCACTGGGGAGGCCACATCTGGAGTCCTGTGTCCAGCTGTGGCCCCCCGCTGCAGAAAGGATGTGGACAAGTTGGAGAGAGTCCAGCGGAGGGCAGTGAAAATGGTTGTGGGGCTGGGGGACAGGACTGGTGAGGAGAGGCTGAGGGAAATGGGCTGATTGAGTCTGCAGAAGAGAAGACCGAGGGGGATTGAATAGCAGCTTCACCTCCCTGCAGGGGGGCTGCAAAGAGGATGGAGCTGGGCTGGTCTCAGTGGTGGCAGATGACAGGACAAGGAGCAATGGGCTCAAGCGAAGGGACGTTGACTTTGGATATTAGGAAAAACTCGCTCACTAGGAGGGTGGTAAAGCACTGGAGCAGGTCACCCAGAGCGGTGGTGCAGTCTCCATCCTTGGAGGTGTTGAAGACCCAGGTAGACCAAGCCTTGGCTGGGATGATGTGGTTGGGGCTGGTCCTGCTTGGAGCAGGGGTTGGACTAGATGTGACCTCCTGAGCTCCCTTCCTACTTTTATTTTCTATGATTCTCTGATTTCTGGACCATCCTGGCTGCGACATCACTGACCCCCACCATTCACACGCATTGTAACAAAACGCCTCCGTGTTGTTTTCCATTGTATTTAAAAATCAGCTTTAGTTCAACAGGAAAGCAGAACAGCAGACGCGGCTGCGCTACGAGACACAGCCAGGGGCC